ATTGGACCCAAAAAAAATGTGAAAATTAACCTTTGTTATGTAATCTTTTATTTTTGCCAAGAATAGACTCCAACACTCTTCAGTCTTCCCCTCCGATCTAGCAGCAGATGGTAAAAGGAAGTCCGATATCCAACAGATTTCATATTAATCTGTCAGGAAATATCGCATTAAAAGCAGAACTAAAGTCATCAAAGAGCAGCCTGGCATAACGCCCATGTTGTTCCAGATGGGAGATGGTGGTGTGGAGCGTTGTAATAATGGCATCTTCAGTTAATGTGTTACCACTGTATGCAAAGTGGAGTAAGTATAACAAAAATAATACAGTGTGAGTGCAGGATTACACATGTGACAATTTAGGTGAATTGAAGGAGGCTACAGGGAAATCAGTGTGTTTCTATTAGTTTGAACTCCTTTTTAGAAATTGGAGACTGTCAGAGGTCATTTAGTAAGAGTCAGTGAATTCATGACTCTTTCACAATTGTAAAGAAAAAGAGAACAACATGAAATGTATGTTTTTTTCTGAGGGTGGTGGGGTAGAGGACTTCACGTGTAGGTGACTGTTGAAAGCCCAAAAAGCGCCTTGCTTGATGAGACAAATCAGACATTCCTAAGCATCACATTAGATTCCTTTTTCACTGTCTCATAAAACGCACAACCCTTTGTGTACGGCGATCACAAAATCTGGTGTGCAGTGAGCTCATAGATGAAACTAAGGTAACTCACAAATATGAACTATGTGAGCAGAAAAGTGTCTGCTGAAATAATAGGAGGCTTAAAACTACACATTCTCTCTTTAACAAAGGAGCTAGAGGTTGGCGAATGGAGGGAGGCCAATCTTCAGACCCTTATCACACAGACTTCAATACTGCAAAATATCAGTAAACAAAACTGAATCCATTTCACCGGCATTACAATTTCTGTTCAACTGCCAGGACAACTAAACAGTTACTGTTGTCTTGGTGGTTTCTGTTTCTTTTCCCTCCCCCACAGATGAAGCAGAGAAGAGGAAAAACCAGTT